ATATATATATATACTTGCATGTACATGTATATATGACATCTATACATATGTGTATATACATATATAAAACTGCTTGTGTGTTTTGACTTGTCTAGCAGCTACATGAGGGATCAGCTCACATTTACCTTAGTTATACCTGCCTAGTCTCAGAATTTTTTCAGGACCAAGTGGCTTGCCGGGCAACATCTGTCAAGAGCATTTAAAAGCAAATATATTAGCTGCCTCCCCTGGGAGAAAGAATAAAAGATGGGGCAAGTACTAGACCAACTGTAAAGCAAGGGAAGGAAGAGGCCAAGGAAGGAACTATGTGAAGGAAGAAGGGATTGAAAAATCTCCTATGTTCAGGATCCATGGTGGTGTAGAAAAGACCTGAGAAGTCCTTAGCCTTTCATATCTGACTGACTTTTAGGCCCTGGGCAAGAAGGAAGAGAAGGCTAAGGTAGAGTTGTAAATTACCTGGCCAAGCCTTGAAGAAGTGATCTACTCCAAGCCAATCTGCAAAGATGGGGAGAATGACTTTTATGTTTATTTTTTGGTTTGAGATGTTTAAGGAAATTTCTGTCAAACCATTAGCTGAACATTTAGCTGATGAAACAGAGACTTCAGTATGACACACAGAGACCAATACAATTTTTAAAGAAATGGTTTAGAAAAGTCATTAAACACAATAAGCAACAATAAATTCTGGGGTGGGGCATAAGATCTGTTTCCAGAGTTATTATAATAGTCAAGATAGCCAATTTTCAACAATGGAAAATTACTAGGCATGCAAAGAAATGAGAAAAAAATGATGAAAACTGTTCTTGAGGAAGCTCAGACTCTGGACTAAGACTCTAAGTCAACTGTCCCCCTACTTGACTAGGGCCAGTCCCTCTCTCTGACCTTTGTATCACTGCATTATCACCTATCTCACTGGCTTCTTGGTGTTGTTCTTCATACTATCAGGGGTTGCTCCTTCTGGAGCACTCTTCTCTCACTGCTCTGCATAGCTCACTCTGCGTATTCTGATCTGTCTTTTTTGCCTCCTTAGTCACCTTTCTTGATGACCTTATCTAAAATAGCCATGTCATTCTCAACTCCCTACAATTTCTGTTCCCTTCCATTGTTTGCTTCATCATACTCTCAAATTTCTCTGATTAGTATGGATGAAAAGAGCCTATTTTGAAACCTTTTATTTTTATTAGTATGTTTGCAGTATACAAAGATCGTATTCATTGTGAGGAGCTGGCACACGCAGTAACACACCTTAATTCTTTCTGTGTCCTCTTCTTGTCCTATTCCCTTTCTCTCCCGTTGGTCACCTTCACATGTCCAAAGACCTAACTCTTTGTTTCCTATTATCTGTCTTATTTTGCTCTTTAATTTCTTTTTATGTTGGATCTCTTATATATGAGAAACCATGTGATATTTAAGCATGTGTGTCTGATTTATTTCACTCAATGTTATGTCTCAAGATCCATCCATTTTCCTGCAAATGACTCAAGTTTATCCTTCTTTATGGCAGAGTCTAGAACCTATTATATGCAATCTTTTACTTTCTCAATAATTCACTTTCTTTTCCTTTACAAGATACTATAATAAACTCAGTAAAATTTTCAGAGGCATTAGGGCATGATGAAAAGTACATTGCTCCTGAAGCCAATTGACTAAAATTCAAAATCTGGCTTTTCCACTCATCAGCTGTACCTCAGTTTCTTTAGCTACAAATACGGATAATATTAGTACTTGCCCATCGGATTATTGTAAGGATTAAATGAATTAATACATATAATGTACTTAATATACTGTCTTGTATATAGAACTGCTTAGAAAATGTTAGCTGGTGTTGCTATGACTATAATTACAAGTATTAGTATGGACATATATGCAAATACATATGTATACACACATACCTTGAGCTCATTATATAGATCTAACTTTTTTTTGATACAGGGTCTTGCTATGTAGTCCAGGCTGGCCTTGAACTCATGGTGATCATCCTGCATCAGTCTCCTGAAGGCTGGTACTACAAAACATGCACCACTATGCCCAGTAAAGACCTTAAATTATAATATACTACAGCCTACAACATAGTGATACCTTTTAAAAGAGTACAGGGTTATTGGTTTTTATATAAAATAGCTTTAGGCTGACTTGCTGGTGTGCTCTTACTGCTGTTTTATGGTTTTTATATTTTCCTGTGTGAGGTCTTTAACTTCACTTCTCATGGTTGCTGGTTATTTTTCATATCTATATCAGCCTCTTTCAATTCTTCTATTTTTTTAAGGAGGGATAATCCACGGTTTTTGGACATACATGATAAGAACTACTACTTTCCTATTTTCTAAACTAAGTTGAAAAAGCTCTCCTATGAATAGGGAGAAGAAATTTGAGTTTATGGATAGCTCTTTTGGCTATTCAAAGATATTTTTTTCTATTTCCCATTTCTTAGATAAATGTAAAAAGTCATCAGAAAGTTAACTGTCTGGGATGATGGATGTAATAACAATTTTATATGTATATGCAGATGTTAAAATTAGCAAGCCTATGAATTGAGTTCAAGTAAATATTCATTATATTTCCACTGTATGCTAGATACATATTGAAGGAATGAAAGTGAAACAAAAATATGGTCCTAAACTTTTAAAGCTTGCAATATCAAGGGAGAGATTAAATATAAACAAATAATGCCAAGATTATATGGTGAGAGATACCAAAGATTTTTCTAACCAGGTACTATGAGGGCCTAGAGGAAAGGCTGGTGGAGGGGTGGGGAGTGCGCATCAGGGAAGCTCCTGATGAAGATCGTGTGAAGGGAACCTTGATGCAGCCAGGTAAAGAAATGTTGGATGGAAACAAGGGAGCTCACAGGGTAGGAAGCCACATGATGCTTTTGTGAGAATAGGTGGCTGTCTATAAGAATAAATAGTTTGATATTTCTATGATAAGAAAAGAGAGAGATGGGAAATGGTGAGAAATTTTAGAAGACAGGAAGTAGACCGTCTAGGAATCAGATCTGAAAGGTCCTCAACTGTCTGTCATGCTGAGAAGCTTGGATGTTACTTAAAATAGAGGAGCCATGAAAGAGTTAAAAGCATTATAGCACAGCAATATATGGATACTCATGTTTACAGCAGCACAATTTGTAATATCTAAGTCTTAGAATCAGCACAGATGCCCAACAATGAATGAATGGATAAAGAAAATGTGTTTTTTATATACAATAGAGTACTATTATGCCATAAAGAAGGATAAACTTAAGACATTTTTAGGTAAAGTATGGTCTCGAGACCACACTTTTAAAATAAACAAATCAGATACACATGCTTAAATATTGCATTGTTTTTTTTTTGGTATGAGAAATCAAAAGTCCAAATAAAGGCCAAAATGGATGATAGATATGGGGAAGTAGAAAGAAAATGTTCAAATGGGAAGAGGGATAAGGTGGGGGAGGGAAGGAAGGCAAAAAGAAAAAAAAAGACGAAGAAAAAAATGAAAACAAAGCTTTTGTAAATAAAGAGAAGAAAGATTGAAGGGAGGGGGGCAGGGAATGGGGAAAAAAAGAAACAAGACATATCATGTACAGGTACAGATTCCCTATGATGAATATGATCGTTGTGTATATCAAAAGTGTACTCACAAAATTAATTAAAAAATAAAATGTAGGAGCCATTACGAAAATTTTGAGAAAATGGCAATCTTTAGATTTTCATTTTAAATGTATAACTCAGACAGCAGGGTGGAAGAAAGAGCAAAAATAGCAAAAAGGAGCAAGAGAGACCAGTTCGGCAGTTGCTATAATTAATAAGATAGAGGTAGGAGGGCATGAAAGGAGGCGAAGCAGCAGCGAGGGTCCCAGGCATATCTCGAAGATAAAACTGGGAGGCTCCACGACTTAGCAGAGGGGGGCTCGAGGGTGACTACAGGATTTCGTGCTACTGGGTAGATAATAGTGCAATTCACCAAGAGAGGAACAGGTGTTTCTGGTGTGAGGTGCACAGGAGCTTAGGTTGAGACATATTAAGTTTGAGGTACTCACAGGAGAAGTCAGAACTGGAGGTAGGATTCTTAGAGCAACACAGAGATTCATGAAAGCAGATGGGGGCTCTGAGGGGAATGTGTGAGAGAGAAGAGCCAGCCCAAGGACAGTGTGCTTAGAGGAGCAGCAGGCAGTGGTCAGGGAGAGAAACTGGGACTACAGGAAGAGAGCAGCACCATGGAACCCAGTTGTGAGTTTCAGGCCTCGTGACCAAGAGCGTTCAGCACACTCATCAGCTGTATTTCCTGAGCGCTCGCTGTGGAAGGCACCATGCTGTTCTACATACCGTATTGAATCCATCCTCCACAAGCTACACTTGATGAGCCTGACGTTCGAGAAGTCCTGTTACCTACCCAGGGTCATGGGGTGAGCTGGGAGAAATGGGATCTAAACCCAGGTCTGCTGCATTACAAAGCCCATGTTGTTAACTCTGCTGGAGTGAAAGAATTCTTCAGTGCATAATTTAATATTATCATAATGAGGACAGCTATATATTGCTTTCCCAAGAAGCATGTCCTAAAAGCTAATAATTCCAAAGGAATATTTAATATATAAATATTAAATATGAGGTCATTCATATGCAATCACTTCATAACATCAAACTGGATTCTTTCAGTGACACTTCTTCATAATCTTTGTGTTTCATAAATACCACACTGGCCAACTTAGGGAAACAACAAAGCACAGAACACAGCACAGCACTCCACTGATCACAGCACGGTTCCATTAGTGCCCAAAGGAAAAGCCCTAGTTAGAGCAGTTAGAGCGCTTCAGAGGAAAATTAAGTGCCCCAGTCCTAGACACTGATGCCTACTCTGCTTTCTTGCAAATTGACTACGAACCAGAGAAGGTATGTATAATGTAGCACACACCTACCGCAAGTAAGGGAAAATTCATTAAAATACACATTCTATGAGAGATCAATTTTAGATGATAAATTATTTGCCATTTTAAGACAGAATAAGAAAATAACATTTCTATTATAAAGTTGTAATTTTCCAATTTTCCACTAGAGGAAGCAATAGTATTACTCTTACCATTTGGTGGATAAAAGACGGCATATTCTTCTAATCCTAGTTTTCCTGAAAATGAAGATAACAAGGATTTCAATATGATTTGAAAAACCTCCAGCCAATTTTCTGGTATTAGCAACTCCTTTCAAGAATTAAAATCAATAATATACACCAAAGTACAAGGAACGGGTTACAAAACAAGCCAAAAGCAAACACATTCAAACTCCTTAAGCATTTAAGAAGAATCTACTTGTAAATATAGAATTGTTTTACTGAATATAAATTATTTTAATGTTCATTGAAGCAAGACCTCTGTGTCACAATATCTCATTAGTTTACATTTTAATGGCATATGCTTAAAAATTAAATGTCTTTAAATGTATAGTGATCATATTTTCTGAATCCCAAAATAGTTCATATGATCAGAGAATGGGGCTAAATATTTGAAATCAGAATTTCAAGTAAAGTATAACTAACCAAATATTTAACAGACTTTAAATAGCACTTTCCCTCAAAAATTTCAAGGTTCTCAGCTTTTTCCACCTTCCACAGAATATCTTTAGGTAGGTTTTATCTTGACAGTTTGTCTTAACACTTTTTGAATTTATTGAAAAAAACATTCTTGCACGGGGTTTTAAGTAAATTTTAAAAATTAAAACCAATTTTTTTTTGGTTGGGGTAGTGACAGAGGAGAGAGGAAGAATAAAAAGTGGGAGTCGTTTAGTTATAAACAACAGGGAACAATCCTTATGTAAGGAGAGATGAAATAATGAAATCAGACAGATACATACACTGATTACTCAGCAAACAAAATAAATGTAGGCTATGAACCCTCAACTATGTGGTTCATAATCTAGACTTAATCATGAAGCCTTAGAGTTTGCTAACTCTTTTTTTCTTTAACAGATTTTAACAATGAGATACAGGCTAGATTTTTGAGGATCTATACATTTTTTGGGTGGAGAAATTAAGAAGTCTTCTACAGAAGGGAATACATGGAGACTAAAATAAATATGGCACATTGTGGAATAATCAATCAAGCAAAATTATCTAGGTTAAGACTGTATTAACTGGGCCAGGGATTTAGCTCAGTGGTTCTGCTGCCTGCTTTGCAAGCACAAGGACCTGAGTTCGATCCCCAGTACTGGAAAAAAAAAAAAAAAAACCACAAAAAACAGACTGCATTAACTGATGGGGGACTTTTCTTGGATGAGTTTACAGGTGAGCCCAAATATGTGATTAAGTTCCACAATCAGTTTTTCGGGAAGTTTCGGTAAATTCATTTTAGAAGCAATGGAACTAAGAGAGCTCTGATTTGGGTGGAGCCTGATTCCAACATAAGGTGGTGTGGCCGCCATAGGGCAGAAGTTGGAGCAATCACAATCAGGCAGGTAGCTCCGACTCAGGAAAGGCAGAAGGGGCATACGCAGTGATGGTGAACCTTTTAGAGCATTCAATGATAACAAACAGTCAGCTGCCACATGCGTGCCATAGGTGTGCCACCACTGAATGGGGTAAGAGCTTTCAGCGCCAGTATTCACTACTTGATGGAATGAAGTTGAGAGGGCTGTCAGCTGGTTAGTTGTTTTCAGGTGATGCCAGAAGAGGCATTAAAATAGAAATTAGAGTGCTAACAGCACATAAATTATATCAAAATTTAAAGTGTGGCAGAACCTTTTGAGAAAAGAAATACAAAAAGTTTAAGAAATGAAAAAACCAATCCATGTGGTACACTCAGTTAGAAAATAAAAATCAACAGAAATGACAAAAACAGCAATAGAGACAGCAAACAGGGAAGACAAAAAGGCAAGCTGAATATTGCTTTCTAGAAGGATTTAACTCTGATTTGTGATAAGCTGCTTGGGACTGTTTTAAGTGAGGGGAAAGGAGAGTCACAGTCATCTGAGGGAAATCTTAATTTACAATTAAAAAATAGAGAACACCAATACGAGCTATAAAATAAACATTCTTGGCATTATATGTAAGTCTCAAACAACATCTTCTTAGCATTAGTAAAATATTACCTCTTATGTATGATTTCGGTGGTGAAGCACTGTTGTATGCAAAGTGACCCAAAACAGACGTATCCCGGGAAAAACAAAGTAATACCTAGATATAATATTAGGAAAAATAAGCAATTAAAACTGTCATAAAACCAGATAATGTGTTGCTGTTTCCTTCTTGGGAGGTACTGAGGCAGTGGAGGGGTCAAGTTCAGCACTGGGCCTTACAGTGGGAGGTTGTTCTTTATTGGTATGTCCACATTAACTGTTAACACGGGATGCCAAGTGTAGATGGCTAATGTTCTAAAAATTTCTTTGTTTCACCTGAACTTTGAACAAAAGGAAGTGCATGTTGCTAAGTGCCAGTTGATTCTTTTCTGTTTTACCTGGAAATGAGAAAAACCTAGGTCACAGTGTGGCAAACCTATGCCATGCATACCGCAGTGAAGTCTACCATTGAAGCTCTAAAAGGTTTACCATCACTGACGCAGAAGTTTAACGGACTGTATACAGCAGCTTCTAGGTAGCCAGAGTGGCACAGAACAGTTTGGGAAATAAAGTGGAACTGGACTCATCGCTGGGGTGCAGCAGGCAGGTGGACATGTCAGGAATGGAGAGAAGGTGACATGATATTTAGAAGGGCTGCCCAATACAGGAGAGCAGCTGGTTGTCCTGATCTGCAGATAGACTGTGGCAACTCTCCCTGGAGATGAAAATGGGTAGGGGAGAATCAGGATCAAGGATGCCCAGTAGGAGAAAATGGATTGCTGACTCTAGACTGGACTTTGGGGGCAGAAGTCCAATTCCCAGGAGAATGAATAATAAGAAATCTGGGTTCTGGTATTAGAAGACTTGGGATTTTAAGGTTGTTACCATGAAAAGAATTCATGATTGGAAAAGACAAAACAGAGGTGTGGAGTTAGGTTTAGGGTTGCAGCAAGAATGAATGGAGACTAGAATGCTTTCATGTCTAAGACACAAGAAAGAGGGTCCCAGTCTGGTTTGAAGAATTGACCTAGAGATTTGGTATTAGTCAAGCTCAGTGGCAGACTGCGTAACAATGACCCCGCCACACCACTGATTTGTTATTATGTTTGAAAAATACACAAGCTGTACTTTACGATAAAAAACTAGAAATGTGGATGATAAAAAAGGAGAAAACACAGAATCACACCAGTTTTAATATGAAGATATATATCATTCCAGACTGCTTTTATGCACACATACATAATTTTCGAACAAAAGGGCTATAAATAGTTTTAGAACTTACTTTCTCTCAATGTTATAAAATAAATACTCCCTAGGTATACTTTGTAGAATATTACATTGAATGAATAATTATTTAAACTGTCTTACTGTCGATCATTTATTTCTACTTTACCCCATTTATAAACAATGCTGTAATGAATGTCCTTATGTACAACTTTAGTTACTGTATTTATATTCCTAAAACTGCACTGTCTGATCAAATGCTACAGACATTTAGAAATTGTGAAATACATGTTATTAGATGTTGCTTAATAAACATTGCCAAATTGGCCACTAGAGGTGGAGATTTTGTTTATGTTTTTTGTTTGCTGACATATCCATTTTCTCTTTTATCAGAATAGGTTATCATCATCTTATAGGTAAAAAATGGTATCTTGCTTTGATAATTTGTAGTGCTTTAATTACTAGTGAATTGAACACTTCTATTTGCATTTTCGTTATTTTCTCATTCACTCTGGTCCTTTAAATAGATTTTAAAAAATTATTGCTTTGTTATATTTTCATGTATGAAAGAATGTTTAGTCTACTTGTCTATATTTATAATTTAATATATATTTATATACTCACTACACATGTTGTTTGTGCCTGTGTGAGTGTGCATGCTAGGGACTGAATACAGGGCTTCATGAATGCTACACATGTGTTCTATCACTAAGCTATCCTCTCAGCCCTGAGTCCAATTTATTTTGCAAATGGTTTTGCTCAAATAATACATTAATTATTTTGACATGACATTTTAAATTTTTACATGATCAAATCTACCATACTTCTTTTTATGCTTAGGAATCAATCCCTTTCCACATTATATTCTTCATATATTCAAGTGAATTATGAAAGTCACTGGTGTTGTTTATCACATATTTCTGGTTCTTCCCCTTTGGGGACACATATGTCAGCTTGTCTCTTCGGGCCAGGTTAGTGTTAGGTATGGCTACGTAATTTGCTCTTTCCTCAACGAAAAGCCTATGTATTACAAAAGGGTTTCCAAAAGGAAGCCTCTGCTGACTTTTACTGAGTGAAGTGGGGACTCACTGCATGGTTTTAAGCAGAGAGTGAAATTATTAAACATATTTTATAAGAGATGGAGAGAAGAATAAAGGAAGAAGGGAAAGGGAATAAAAAAATGAATTGAGATGTGTTAGACATGTACCAATTCCCCACAAGGAAGGTAACCATTATGTAATGCAAACATGTAGCAATAAAAAAGAAACTGGAAAAAAAGACACTAGCCATTGTGTGGAGAGTTAGCTACAAGAATCAAGGACAGAAGCAGAGAGACCAGTTAGAAAATTCTTGGTAGTGGTGTGGAGTAAGGTGGCAGCAATGTGCAGTCAGTTTGTGATGTGTCATCCAATTCTTTTTAAGAGCAAAGGACTTACTATAACTGCTGGTAGTGCTGTAGTAGCCAATCCTGAGCTCCCCTCAGCAGTCAGCTCCTTTGGGAATTACTTCTGCTGAAGAGAGCTATTTTGTTCAAATATCAAGATCACACACTTTACCTGGACTAGCTGTGGGAGCCCGCTGGCATTTGACATTGGAAAAGTAACTTCTTCTACCATTGAGGCATTGACACAATCTATGACTCTATTTGGCTTTTCTGAGATGAGGGCCTCAGCTATGCAGATGAGATTGACCTGGAGCTCTCTGTGTAGTCCAGGCTGAGCTCACTGTGTAATCCAGGCTGGGTTTATGGGATTATCCAGGCTGGGTTTATGGGTATCCAGGCTGGGTTTATGGGATTACCGGTGTTGACCTGGAGCTCACTGTAATCCAGACTAGTTTTATGGGATTACGGGCGTGCACCACCATGCCCGGCTCAAGGACTTTGTTAAATTTGACCTTTGATCTCCTCCCTAATATTGCTTGATGCTTCCTGTTGGCCTGCCTTTAAAAGGAGCTGTTTCTGTGTAATAAATGGGACCTCTTGTCTCCACACTATTGAGTGTGCTGTCCTTTCTCAATCCTCACTCCCCAACTCAGGTACGTTCGTGTTGTGATGGCTGGCCCGCCACAACTAGCCCATATAGAATGAAGACGACGCCTAGGAAAGAGATCTGAACCTTTTGTCCCTAACTCAGTAAGGGTCTGACACTTATGAAATCTTCAGAACACTCTGCAAAGTGAGCTGTGGCTTCGATTTAAGCTGTATTGCTAGATTTCTCCTGCTTAATCTTGCTTTGTTTGATGTTCTTTGGGTCCCAATAGCATTCCCTAATAAACCTTCAGCATGTTAATATCCAACTGAGTTGGCTTCAATGGGAACCCATCATGAATACAGAGATACATATTCTTAATATTGTATATTATGAAAGCAGGAGCAAAAGGATTTACTGCCAGATTGGATGTAATAAGAGAAAGACAAAAGTCAAGAATGATGCCAAGTGGTGCTTAAAAGTAGAAAGATGCTTGATTTGAGCAAGTGGAAAGACAAGAATTACCATCAACTGAGAGAGGGAAAACAGCAAGTAGAATAATCTTGGAAGTGAGACCAGAAGTTCCATTTTCAACATGCTCAGTTTGAGAGGGCTGTAAAGTATATAAATGGAGAGACACTGAAGAGGTAGGTGGAGACTCCAGTCTGGTGTGTAGAGAGGGGATTGAACTAAAGATATAAATTTAGGAGTTATTCACATACCAATAGTACCAAAGGCTACATGATTGGTAAGCTTGGTGAAATCATCCAGTGAATGAACATAACTATTGAATGAGTATAACTAAAGAAAAGAAGGTCAAGAACTAGGGTATTAAAAGATAAGAGAAGGAACCAGCCTAGAACTGAGGAGGAACCAACAGAGATAGAATACCATAATACAATCTATGAATGGCCCCTAATGCAAAGGTCCTTGTGAGTACTAGGAATGGCAGAAAAATAACACGCTACCAAAATGTTCACATCTTGATCCTTGGATTCTGTGAATATGTTGCCTTATGTGACAAAAAGAACTTTGCAGATGTAATAAAATTAGTGATCTTCATATGTTTAAATACCACATTGTTTCTCTAGTGTAAGAAACTGAATGTGGAAATAAGAACTAAGATGTATAATGTATGTTGGGAACTCAGAAGAAAGTGTTCAAATGGGAAGAGGAACAAAGGAGGAGGGAGGAAGAAAGGAAGGAAAAAATAAGAAAAAAAGAGAAAATAGAAGGGAAAAATGGAAACAAAACTTTTACACAGGGAGGGAAGGGGGCTTGAGTGGGGAATGGAACAAAATAAAATTTATTAAAAATAAATAAAATTAGTGAGCTGTAAATGAGGCAATTATCCAGGATTATCAGGCTAGACCCAATAAAATCACAAGGATCTTTCTAGAGGCAAGAGAGGCAATAGAGTCAGAGTCAGACATTTGAAGGTGCTATACACTGGCTTTGAAGATGGAAGGAGGGGCTATAAGCTGTGGAACTCTAGCTATTGGAAAAGATAAAGAAATGGGTTAAAAACCTCCAGAAGCAATGTAGTCTTGCAAACACCTTGACAATAGCTCAGTGAGACCCATTTCAGAGTTTTGAACTTCAGAACTATAAAAGAATATATTGGTTTCAAGACACTAAATTTGTAGTAATTTATTACAGTAGCAATAATAAGCTAATACAACTAATAAACAAATACAGCAATAAATGAACACAACTAATACAAGTATACTAAAAGAATGCAATACACAGACACAAAAAAACATCTTTCTACTATTGCCTTGAAGAAGGAAGACAATTCCTAAAAAATGTTTGTATTAATTTTTCCTTAGTTTAGCAGGTTGGGAGGAGGAAAGTAAAGTTAGAAGAAGCCCTATGCTTAAATATATCACCCTAGAGTCACTGTGGTCCTAAAGAAGACAGGATA